GCTGTGAGGGTGGTGAGACCCTGGCCCAGGTTGGGCAGAGAAGCTGTGGCTACCCCTGGATCCCTGGAAGTGTTCAGGAAGTTGCTCCAAGGCCTGTCCAACCTGGGATAATGGAAGGTGTCCCTGCCCATGGCAGGGATTGGAACGAGATGAGGTTTAAAATCCCTTCCAACCTGAGCCATTCCACGATTGCCCCAGTGCTGACATGAAGCTGGGGCAGAGCTCTGGGCCCTCCCCAGACATTTTGGAGCCCACACGAGACCCTTCAGGGTCTGAATTCCCTCCCTCCCAGCCAGGGACACTGATCTGGGGAGGCACTTTCTTCTCCCCCTCCCGCCGGAGGCCGCGGCAGCCCCGTGGTCTCTGTGGGATCCCGGGACGTTCCTCTCCCCACATTCCCCCTCAGCCTTTCACCGGTGGCAGGTTGTTCTCTTTGGTGGCTCCCGGGGCTCTTAACCCGGGGGTCACCATGAAGCCTCTCGGTTTCTGGGGCCGACACCTCGCTCCGATTTCACACGGACGCTGCTTTCACCCAACCCCTCCCCTGGCGCTGCCCCCACCCCCAGCCTTGTGCCCCTCACCATTACTGGGATGATTGGCCTTGTCAGGGAAGGGAGGAAAACCGTCCCCTTGGGGTCCCTCCTCGGGGGTCCCCTTGGGCAGGTTATTAAAATTCCTTTCGACATCGGCTTTTCCAGCCCTTTCTGAGGAGCTGGGGGAGGGGAGCCCGGCTCTGCCTTTTGCGAGCCAAACATTTGGAATATTTCTCTGAAAAACCCCTGTTGACACTTTCTTCATTTCACCCTGACAGCTTGAATTAGGTTTTATTAGGGAGCCTGGCTACAAAGCCGGCAGCCAGTTTCCTTTCTCTTTCCCTTTCTTTTTCTTCCTTGGTTGTCATTTCTGTCACACCCCGGAGCGAGCGGGGTCAGCCCGTCAGTCACGGGGGGCCTGGAGGTCACAGCTACTGCCACGGGATACAGGACATCAGCTGTCATTAACCCAGACAGTTCCCTTCAAGATTCCGAGCTCTTTTCCCAAAGAGCAGAGCCCGGGGTGGAAAACGGAGCGCTTTTTTTTTTTTTTTTCCCCCCTCCCCCTAATTATTATTTTTTCGTAATTGTTTTTTTTAAACTCCCTCCTTGTGTTTGTTGACGGGAGTTTTCCCCCTTTATGTTGCTGCTCCCGTGAAAGTTCTTTTGCTCTTCGTGTGTTTGAAGAAAATTTGGAGCCCAGTGTGGATTTGTAGGACTTATAAATTATTTCTCTTAAATAAGTAAGAGAAAGAAAACCCCCTTTATAAATTCAGCGGTTTCCTCTTTGTTACAAATGTGTTTTGAGTTCATCAGGTTGCCTTGAAAAGTATCTGCTCACTGGAAGGCTTCCTCTTTTTCCAGTGGCATTTCCCATTGAAAAGATAGGGAATATCTTTGGGAAACAGTGGGTGGAAGGGATGGGATGGGAGCTCTAATCTACCAAGACTTCAGTTGTTTGGGTTTGAGGTGGGTTGCTTTGCAAACTAAACACCAATCCTGAAAGAACTCGGGATGCAAAGCACTGAGAAGGATTGAAGTGTGTCAAGTTAGTAAAAAGAAAATGATCTAAAAATGAGAGGTTTGAAGAACTAAAATCAGGGAGGACCTTTGGAATTTGGCTGGGGGAGAGAGGAGGTAAATGGAGTTTCTTTGGCAGCTCGTGCTGCTGGTCCTGTGTTCCTGGAGGGGTGGGAGTGCTGCAGCTGCTCCTGGTTGTGGGCTGAGTGTGGAGGGTTGGGAACAACCCCAGCACTGCTAAATCCCACCAGTTGGGAGCTGATACATCAGATTCCTCACAGCCAGGAATTCCTTCCCAATATCCCATCTA